AAAAAAACATGTTTAGCTTCCTGTTTTTTTGAAAAATAGGAAGGAGGAGGCCCTTTTTTTTTTTTTTCAAAATGGTCGCTCAGCACATTTTCCCTCACAGTCGGGCTATTTTTCAAGATGGCCGCCGACATTTTTTTTTTTTTTTAAATCAGAAATAGATCCATTTTTAGCAGTTTTTCATGTTTTTTTCTTAAAAAAAAAAACAAAATAGGAGGCGGCCCCAAATAGGAAGCAGACAGGGACGCTAAACATGCAAACTTTTTTAAATGGCCTAAGAGAGCATGGCTACGAGTAAGTTAAAAGGTAGGCCTCTACAAAGAGAGATCCAAAGGGTAGGTAGAAAGACGTAGTGAGATTGACTAAAACTTACAGCGTAAAATAGAGACAGTAATATAGTCAAAGAGATGTCAGTGAAATAATACAAACATAAGGCTTACTGTCACTGCTTAATATCAAAATTTTGTCGCTAGTATGCTTTTGCACCGCCACAGTGCATGCCTCATTCCGTCACACACGTTGGTTTCCTCAATGTCACTTCATTGACTATACACATGACTTGCATATGACGGAATGAAGCACACGCATCCTGGTCTCCATCGACTCTAAACATAACTTGTGACTTGTGTGTGACCAAGAATAACTGAAATGTTTGTTGATTTTTCTATTTCATGTGTGAAGTGCTTTACCTGTTTAAAGACTGACATGTCAAAATCTCTGTGGTGTGACGTAATATTACGTATTGACATTGCCATTGAAGTTAAGTTGAGCTTAAGGTAAGTAGGCCCTCTCTCACTTAAATTTGAAACCACTCGAGCAGATTGGCCAATGGGAGTGCGTAAACTCACTGTACAGCGCTCAATGCGCAAAGTTTTTCGTGGCCAGACAAGACTACATCATGAGCGCGTTGCCCAGTGCAAGTCCAGGATTAGTCTAGTTAGCATCAAAGTTTTTACATGCACAAATACAAAATGAGAAACATCCCCATATGTGACAAATCTTTAAATTTTACGCTTATTGTAGCGATCCAAACTGGTGCATTTTGGTTTTTGGATGATTTTGGATGATCACATGTTTTTGCATGCAACAACAAAATAATTCATAATTGACACAACAATTAACAGATTAAAGTTTAGTAAGATTTCCTCTTTTGAATGGCATAAAGGAAATGAAGTCGATTTCATAAATTTATAGAATTATTATTTTTTGAAAATACAAGTAAACTTAAGTGCACATGCACAAGCTAGAGTAGACAATTGTTCTGGTTCAACTCCGACATCGCGAGCGAATCCTGACTTTGATCTATCGGAGAACACTAGGCGCACCGCGCCAGTGGAGCTTGCTACGATCGTGCACCGCCCACCGTCAATACCGTTTTCAACTTCGACACGAAGACCACTACAAAAACAACATTAACGTCCAATAAATACGTAATATTTCAACTTACCTTCTAGTCATTCATAATACCAATGATATTCTTTATTGTATAAATGATGGAGGAATACTTAAACCATCGTATAACAACAATTTAAATCAGATATTTTTTAAATATTTCGTCCAAGGCAAAGATCGCGTAACCACTGTAAACCATTTCGACTGCAACGGAAGTGCAAAAAAAATAAAAGATGCCTTCTTGACAATAGTCAAAATGTGTCTTTGTTTGTTGATCATCACGAAAAGGGGAGTGGTGCCACAGTACCATGATCAGGAAAAAAATGACTAGATTTTACAGGAGAGGAGGGGAGGGGGCAAAAGTTAATTATTTTGTTTAAGGATATAGTTTCAGTCAATGCTTAGATATAAGCAAGAATTTAGAATGTTAAAAAGTTTCATGCAAGATCAAACTACAAGGCGATTTTCCCTCAGGCTTTTTGCAATCTCTCTCTCGATCCCGTCAAACTTCTTTCTTTTTCATTTCTCCCTAATTGATAATATTTTTAAATATTTTTTTTATTGCTATTTTATAGATAATATTACATGTAACTATACGATATATATGCTATACACTATAGTATACGATTAAAAGACATGAATGAAAAAGAAGAGGAGAATTGTGAACTTCTGCCCGGAGCCAGATTAGCATTATGTATAGAGTGAGAGAATACCAAACTAGATGTTTATCAAACAATTCATTGAAATAAAAATGAAATCCCGGATTTAAACGAGAAGAAAAAGAAAAGGAAAACTCAGGACAATTACCTCCCCCCCCCCCCCCCCCCCCCCCCCTCCCTCTACGACCATCTCTCTAGACTCTAGTACATCGCGGCCATGACCAAGCACCCCCTCCCTGCGTGCAGGGCACATTAAAGCATAATTGAGGGGATTGAGTCGGGAAGAATATAATATATTGCAATATTTCTAAACATTCAGCCAGTTAATAGACGACCTCCTGTAGTAATGAAAATGCACGTTCTATAAAGGGCATGGACTAAAGAAGTTAGACCCCAAAAGACAAAACATAAGGCCCTATAAAAACGAACCTTACATAGTTTGACGGTATACTTGATGAAACCAATATGATTGTGAAAAAAGTGGCACGGAAGATATGTAAACAAAAGCTGATGCCTTACTTTTGCTCTTCCTTCCTTCCTTTCTCTCCTTTTCCCTTCCTTTCTGCGTTCCTTTTTTTTTTTATTTCTGTTTTTGGAATTGAGTTGGAGCAGCCCTCTGAAGTGCCCCCCCCCCTCCTCTCTCTCTCTCTCTCTCTCTCTCTCTCTCTCTCTCTCTCTCTCTTTCTCTCTGTGCCTCCGTATACCTTTCCTACCGGCACCCTAACATTCGGGACTCACTCTGCGACATCGACGTACCAATAGGCACAATATTGTGCACATCATTTTACTCACATTATGTAGGCCAAATGTATTTATTATAATAATGCAAATGTCCAACCTATAAGCATGGACTAGTTAGCAGATCTATACAGAGGGACAACATCGCCCCTGCCAATTTGGGATCAATTGCAAATAATTTTTAGTCTCCGGCCCCTTCAGAATCTCAGATAATTTTGACTGAGGTGGGTAGGCCTACTTTTTATACTTTGATAGGGTCGCCTTGTCTGCATTTCTGATAGAAAACAGGTGTATCAAACATTATGAAAAGATGGTGTGTTAATTAGAAACACTTTACCGGCCTCATCAAATGAAAGGATCCACTCAAGCAAACAGGCCTTTTCAACTCACAGGTAGAGGGTTGTATCAAGGAGGATATTTTTTAGGATACCTATTAAATTATTTTGAATGACATCGACAAAAGGAATCGATCTTTCCACCTGTAACTATAAAACTGGATTAGGCCATGTAAAATTGATTTCATGTTGATCGTCCCCGCCCGCTTCCTTTTTGGGGGCCGCCTCCTATTTTTTGTTATTTGTTATTTTTTTTTTTTTTTTTTTTTTTTTTTTTTTTTTGAAATTTATTTTGATTTTTTTTTTTTTTTTGAAAGAAAAAAAACATGAAAAACACTGCTAAAATGGCTCTATTTCTGATTTAAAAAAAAAAAAATTGTCGGCGGCCATCTTGAAAAAAAATAGCCTCGACTGTCAGGGAAAATGTACCGAGCGGCCATTTTGAGCGGCCATTTTGAAATATCAAATATCAAATAACATGGTACACCCTCCTCCTCTTTTTCAAAAAATCCGGACGATCAACATGTAATCAATTTTACATGGCCTTAGTCATAAGATCCGTTTTGTGCGGAAGATAGTATAGAGAGATAACAAAAATGGTGACTTTTACCGGTAGTAAAATGTGAAAACACACTTCACCAAATTTACATTTGCTAATGACAACTTCTGAAAATGGTATAACAGACTTTTGTTTAAATCAAATCAGTAAGAAGCACAGGTTCGGAGGTCATTTGACTGAATGAGGAGGGGTAAGAGATCATGGAAATTGAAAAGAGAGAGGGGCCGGGAGGGGGGAGAGAGAGAGAGAGAGAGAGAGAGAGAGAGAGAGAGAGCCTGGGTTTTTAAAAGGGGGGTATAATTGGGGGGGGGAGGAGATGTCTAACTTATAGAATAAAAGAAAAATAAACCCATAATAAATCAATATGTTGAACCGTTGATATGTGTTTCGTACGTTCTTTTATTTATGACCGAGTGTAGTTTTCAACAAAATTTACAAAATATAAAGGTCAACGAACTTTAATCCACGTTGTTTATATTTCAATTGATCCACGTGCGAAAAACTATGTCTGCTTTAATGGTTAATAAAAGAAAAATGGCACATGTTAAAGTGTCATATGATTCTGGAAGTGATGGAGATATTGAGAGTGATGAAGATGTCAAGACGAGTACGTATACAAAGATTTCTACCATTCAATTTGTGAAACATTATTTTGCATTCCTACTAACGCCATTTAATATCGTATGGGACTGTAATAAAAAACGAGCACTGCTTCACGGCCGCCGCTGCGTGTTGCTTCTCGGCCCAGGCGAACAGGCAGAGGCATGCTGCCGATATTGGCCGTTGTACAACCGGCCAACAGGCTACATACATACAAGATTTATTTTGTCACTGACTTACATGCAAACTTTAAAATGAGCTGGAAAGGACAGTTGCGTGGCCTATATCATGAGTAGGTCTATGCCATAAAAGGGTACATGAGCACGGGTCTACATCAATGAGTAGATTCTATGACCCAGTTCTAATGCCATGGCCAAAATTAAAGTGATTGAATCTTTTCATTAATCGTTGCGCATCACAAAACGTACACCGTTCTGAGCAAGTGTCTGAAAATCAAACTATTTACTAAAAGGATTGCAATCCTTAAAGTTGATTCGACAACTATCGGTCGTTATTTTCCTACAAAAAGATATTTTCAAGCACTTTCGTTTTGAGGGAAGTTCCAAAATAGTATCAAATGATGACAAATGCTGGTGGAATTTAACCTTTTCATTTTTTGGCCTGCAAATGGGACATAGTCTAGGCCTAGTAGTCCTTAAACTGATTCGAAGACTCTATTTTTCCTTCTCTGTCATCATAGAAACTGTCTTGAAAAGAAAGATGAAGACTTTACCAAAGAAACAACTAACAGCAGATGAGATGGATGATGAGAGTGATGAAGATATAGATGATGAGGAGGAGGAGGAAGATGAGGAGGAAGAAGATGATGAGGAGGTAGAAGACGATGAGGAAGAGGAAGACGATGGTGAGGAGGAAGAAGGTGAAGAGATACCAGGAGTAGGATGGGCTGATGCTATGGCAAGCATCCTCAGGAAGGAAGCACCAGAAGAGGGCTCGGCTGTCCTTGCCAAGTCAAAAGACTATGCGAAAGCAAAGGAGGAAGAGATGAAGGACTATATGGAGAGAATAAAAGAGGTAAAGCAAGCATCACATTATGTACTACATGAAAACAAAATACTAATTTGGGATCTTTTAAAACTTCAGAGAGTGAAATAAACATTTTAAAAGTTTTGTTTAGTTGGACGTTCATTGTTTATAATTTCTTTGTAGAAGTTGGGAAGTGCACAAGTATTTGTGCTTCATTTGTGTATTACATAATCTCTAGAAACTATGAGACAGATGAGGTAAATTTTTAATGATTGTCATATTGGAGCTCCTGGAATGTTACCATTAATTAATGGATTTATTAACAGTTTTGTACTTGTGTACAGTCAAAGTTCAAACCTGATAAAAAGGCTATTGAAGGGATACAAGAAATATGGTCTTTGTAGAGGTTACTATAAGTCCAGGTATCAGTGTGAAATACTGTTCGGGTTAGGGATGTGACTTTGGCATGTGGTCTTTCTATACAGGTGGCTGCTAAATAAGGTTTTGAAGGACCTGGGGTGTTTCACAAAGATCCTAAGTTGAACTTATCTCTAAGTCTAAGTTGGACTTAACAATTACGGAAAGCCGTTAGCATCTATGAAAATATTTTGAAAGAGTTATTTAAAAAAGATAAAATGTTGATTCATATCATTTATATGAAGAGGAGATTTCATGTTCTTGATATGGAATTTATAAAAAGTCTAAAATACTTGAATTTTCGCTTTTGAATATATTCTATTTTAAGCCTACCTATGGCTCTCCATAATTTTTAAGTCCAACTTAGAGTTAAGTTTGACTTAGGATCTTTGTGAAACACCCCCCTAGGGTCAGATTGTAGCAATGTTTAAATACAAGTTATTTCTACAATTCTATTATTTTTTTAATTCTTCATTTTCATTTCAGAAACAAAGCAGGAAGAAATGGGAAAATATGTCCAAGGTGATACCCAAAGTAACAGACAGGGAATTTGAAAAATCTCTCCAAAGAATAGCTACAAAGTAAGTCATTTCATCTCTGTGCTGTCCTGGTGCTGTCTAAATTGCACATTTACAAAAAGAATTTGTGGATAACTACTTCTGGAAAAACATATGTGATAATGGAAGAAAAAAAAGATGATTTTTTAATGTTCATTCCTTGATAAAGTTTTCTACAAATCTTCCTATTGAGGAAGTAGATATTTCCCATTTGTTAGGGCAAATTCATGAATGATGCTCTATAAGTTAACGATTTATCCTAAACTGTGAACTACTCATATGTTACTTTCAAGATGAATTAAACTATGACACAGTGGATTTAGATGAATAAAGTCTCCCCTGAATATTTTAATTATTTCTTTCTTCTAATTGCCCTCATATTACAGAGGTGTGGTGCAACTCTTCAACGCAGTGAAGAAGCAACAGAAGACTAGAGAAGATAAGCTGAAAAAAGTAGGAGGCTCACAGCGGAAGAGAGCTAAAGTAGAGGCCTCACTAACAAAGGGAAATTTCTTGGATATGTTGAAAGGCACGCCAGCACCTTCAAGTGTAGACCCTTCATCAAAGGCAAAAGGAAGCATTACATCAACAGAGGTAAGTTTCGATCATTGATGAACCGTTGCAGTGTCAGTGTGGTGCAAAGTTGCTTTTTCCAGATTTTTATGAATTTAATTTTTCATTAAGGAATAAGCTGTTGCTTTTAAAGAATAGATCCAAAGAGGAAGCAGCTATGTAGTATTTTCCTTCTTTTTCCATTTTAAAGTTTTAAAGAATGAGAAGACTGAGAGAAAGACTATCAAGAACTTGCTCGCCTTCACTGTGTTGGCTCTATGTTCCATACTACCTATTCAATACCTCGTCAAAAAGTAACATCTAATTTTTTTCCTTCTCAGATGAGTACTGCCAAGTAGAATAATGGGAGGCATCAACATTGAATTACATTTTACCAGTTTTGCAAAATTGTAATCTGCTCCTGAAGCTGAACAAGTTTATACACAATATGTGATTTTCATTTTCTTATAAATCCTGGGACATGGAGAAAAATAATGAAAGAGGGGTGCTTGTAGTTTGGCTTATTTGTTAATACTAATCAAATTTTTAAGTAAGTTCCTTTTTTACCTTTTAATTTTGTTTCCTTATTTCCTCAGAAACCATCATCTGGGGATCAGCCATCATGGGGGGTCTTACGAGATGACTTCATGCTCGGGGCGGGGATGAAAGACTGGGACAAGGAGGGGAGCGATGACGGGAGTGATGAGGACGATGATGATGAAAAAAATGACAGTGGTTTATCATCAGATTCAGACTGATACACAACTAGGTGATGAACTTGATGGACGATAGTAAGCCCAGGCATTGTATTGGACATTGGTGACTCTGACATTGAATAATCATCAGATTCAGATTAAAGGAGAGCATGACACAAGCTCTGTTGGAAGTGTTAGCCGTGGTTGCAGGGTTGGACAGTCATGGATTGATAGAAGAGAGTGAGATGGGCTCATTGGAAAGATGGTGAGCCCTGGCAAGCCTTTTAGGCAGCAGCTGATCAAGGCAAAACAGCAGTTGTGAAATTTGAAATTGGACCAATTATGAGGAGGTGAATCTATTTTTGTTGTGATGGCTATTCAGAACCAGTCATCATCTTACTTCGATCTTGCAGTTGAATCTACTTTCTTCCATGACATGCATAGATTACAGTTATGGTTTGGGTATCTCGAGCAAAGCGAAAGCTGTCACTATTCCATACAAGTTGAACATTGTGATATCAAATCTTCTTCAGTGGATGGATGTGTATATTGTGGTAATATCTACTCCATTACTACAGACTGGGAACAATTTTTTTTAAAGAGATTCCACAATAGTTCAAAGAAACACCAAGCATGTGATTATTTTTTTCAAAAATGTACATTTTGGGGGGTTTTAATGAACTGAGATAATTTAACCATTTTATTATCAAAATTTCAAGTTATTGTCATTTTATGTCAAGGGATGAATGTTAAATATGATCATTCATGGAAAATCTTGATTTTTACCAAACTGTTAAGATAACCCTAAATCCAAGTTTGTTTGGCGAATGAATGATTACATTAGAAGTAACATTTTCAGAAATAAAGTAATATGTTAAGTGGAGAAAGTGAAGTGTTGGTAAAGTTTTCAGGGTTTACACCATGTGGTATAACCACCTTCAATTCATTTTCTACACCTTGGAAGGTATAACAGATGACAAACACACCCCATAGCAATACTGTCGTTAAAGATTATTTTATCATATATAGCCATACAGTTTTCAGAACATGTAATATTATTATGATTAAAAGATTAATTCTTTTATATAAAAGATAGACAAGTCGTATGCTGATTTATTTTATTGTTTTTATTTCAACTCAATATTCATCTAAAAATGATAAATATACAGGTACAAGAGCCAAATGAAATGAAATGTCCATTCTCCTCTCTCTCATTACCTCATTTTTTCCCCCTTTGTACATTGTTGACTCTGTGAAGTCTAGTTCATGTGCATTGATGAAGTTTTGTCCACATTCTGAGCCTCGAGATGATGTGTAGTTTCCATTGATATGAGGGTGCAAGGTTGAATCCTTCTTTCTGCAGTTCAGTGCACATTGTCTGCATCTATCCAGCTACTTTCTTCACTTTTGTATCTCTCTCTAGCATCCAGTTTTTGTCTTGTGTATTCTGCTTACCAAACCTTTTTTTTCAAAAACCTTTTTAACTCTTGCCCACTTGTTATTGGTCCTTGTCGCAAGTTATTTTCTGGAAATGTCTTGCTTTGTACCACAAGTAGTCAATACTCTGATATGGATGCATGTCTTTGCATGATAACATGACATTGGGGCTCTGATCCTGATATTTATGATATCTCCCACTCCTTTGAAGGCTGTCTCCAGTGCATGTCTTGCTGCCTTTTTATTCACAGCATGTCAACGAATATCTCCATGACCATGCAAGCCATGTTCAGTATATCAATGATCTCCTGCTTCAAGCCTGTGGCATCTGTCTCCATTGTTAAAAAAAACCAAAGTTTTGTTTCTTTCTCTCTTTTCCTCTAATGAGGTTTTTATTCAATATTCAACAATAACATAATTTCACAAACAATTTAGCTAAATAATAGAACATCAAAAATACACATAATATTTATTTCAGATATACCGGTAACTACAATGTAAGCAAATTTGTAGGAATGTTGATTATTTTTAGTCTGTAGTCTTTTGGTCAACATATTTATGTGCCTTTCGTTCAACTGATGTGTAATTTTTTATGAGGTAGTGAGGTACCATGCATGTTATATTTCAATGTTAAAGTGTGGCACATTTCTAAGTTTTAAAAGATATAATGCATCATCAGTATAATTGCAATTCAGCAGTAGATGCAGCCCTCCCAAACAGTCAAACCAATGCTGACTCATATCTTGCCAAATTCCTTTTGTATTGTCTAAAATCATTCTAAGCCACTTAGCCTAAAACTGAATATTTGCCTTTTAACAGCGATCATTCTTATTCCTCCTTTACTCAATCAACGACAAAATCAGAAAAACCTTCGGAGCTCAAAATTGCTCTCGAAGTAGTCGAAATAGATATATCCAGATAATAATCTGTAGACAAGCTTTGTTTCTCGAAAGAAACAATTCTGTAGGACAAAGAAAGGGAAATTTTCACGTAAAAGAATTTACTTCTCAGTAAAACCATGCAAAGAAGTGATAATTCAGATGATGTAGAGTTTCTACTTGATATGAGGAAACTAGACTCAAACATTTTTTTCCATATTCTGTATAGGTTACTTGGCACATCTTCATCGTTTCCCCATATTTGTCAATGAAGATTTGAATGACCCTCTAGCTCAACTGGTCTTTCTCTTCCTCCTTTGTACATCATTGACTCTGTGAAGTCTAGTTCAGATGCATTGATGAAGTTTTGTCTGCGTTCTGAGTCGTAAGATGATGTAAAGTTTCCATTTAATATTAAGCAAACAAGACTCAAAACCTTTTTCCATATTCAGTATAGGTTTACTTGGTGCATCTACATTGTTTCCCTGTATTAGTCATTGAAGATTTGGATGACCCTCTAGCGCAGCTGCTCCATCTACTCTTATCACCTCTCTCTCTCTTTTCTTCTCTCTCTTCCTCCTTTGTGTATCGTTGACTCTGTGAAGTCTAGTTCAGATGCATTGATGAAGTTTTGTCTGGTTTCTGAGTCGCAAGATGATAAAGAGTTTCTATTTGATATGAAGAAACGAGACTCAAAACCTTTTTCCATATTCCGTATACCGTAGGTTACTTGGCGCATCTTCATTGTTTCCCTGTATTGGTCATTGAAGATTTGGATGACCCTCTAGCTCAGCTGGTCTTTCTACTCTTTCCCATGACCCCTCTCACTTCCACCTTTGTACATTGTTGACTCTGTGAAGTCCTTATAAGTTAAAAAACTAAACTCTCTTGGGTCTTTAAGATTTAAACTATCACCTACTTCTTTTGTAGTTTTGTTATTAAAATGATTCAACAAAAAACAGACATGATACACATAAATGTATTTTGATAGAATTTATTTGAAATATGACTTTTGTGTCACCCTTTGTAATTCATGATAGCAATTTCTGATACTTATCTACTTGCAAGAATTTTTGTTTTGCATCTGCAGGATTTTGTCTCCTTTTGTAGGTCTGCGTGTATTATCGAAAACATGACTGCAACGCTGGAAAATTCAGATTCTGTACGTTTAGCACCATCATTCAAACACAAACTTTATTATTTCAAATGAGTTGACATTTGAAGTTATATATTTAGCAACATTTACCTTTTCATATATGAAACCCTGATGTGTAATATGGCCTGTGGATATGTTTACAGTAGAAAGAAGCTTTCTGCAGAGTGATCTTTACTCTCCAGGTGTGTGAGATGTTGTACACCAACTGGGAGACTAGTACTGAGATTTTATAAGGGTCATTCTTGGTGAGCAAGATGTTTACTCACTCTAAAAAGAATGATCTCTGGGCAATGGGTTCTATCAAGGTTGTCAAGCCTAGCAGATTGATGCTCTGAAAATGGATACAAAGCAGCAAGTCAATGCCTAGATTTGGTAAAGTTCAGAGATGCATTTGCCAGGATTTGTGAGAGGGCAGTGGAAAGAAGCATTTTGTACAGTAATGTTCATTCTACAGATGTCAGATGTTAAACAGTATCTGGAAGACTTGTAATAAGATTTAAAGGGGTAATTCTTGGTGAGAAAGATGTTTTCTCACTCTAAAAAGAATTGCCATGGCTCACTGACACATCTATCTAGTCTTGCAAACCTGACAGATTGGTTACTCTGAAAATGGACACTGAGCAGCAAGTCAATGCCCAGACTTGACAAATTCCAGATATGCATGTGCCAGTATTTGTTAAAGAGCAGGGCAGAATTATACCTTAGAAGGATCCTTAGTCTACAGATATGCAAGATGTTACAGACAGCCTTGAAGACTGGTACTTGGATTTAAATGGGGCCATTCCTGGTGAGGGAGATGTTTTTTAAATCTAAGGTAGCCAAGTGAACTGTGTAGTACCACATAAAAATGCTGCTTTTTACAAAGGAATTCATCTGGCCAATCAACATTCCCCTATCTAGGAGCAGATAGGGGACAGATGTTTGTTCATAATACCAGATGCAATCTTTTGTTAAAAGCCAAGTTTTTCATGTGCCAGAACATTTTGCTAAGCTACCGGTACATAAAAAGAAAGTCTACTAGGTCTATTGAATTGGGCACTAAGCCTGGCTGAGACCCGACTGTGAACGGTGAGTCACTAACTAGCCATGGTCTCGAGAAGAATGGTACTGCTGCCATTTCTTCAATTGATGGTGAGACACTCAAATGTGTTCAAATAATCTTACAAAGAGGTGGAGGCGGAAGTTGTCTTAGATGATAGTACATGTATTTCAAAATAGGTGGTCAATTGTTCTGGGTAAAAATCATAGATGATTACCGTAATTGTCCCATGTAGGTACGATTCTGGACTAGTCGACTGGATGATGGTACGAGTCGGGACTAGTCTACTGGATGCTGGTGCTACCTGTAGTTGGTGTTAGTGACCTACATTGCTGCTGCTGTACTGCTACTATATTATTATTGGTTTTTGTTAAATTTGTTGTTATTTTTTGTTGTAGGGGGGAGGGGTAATGGTATTGCATTTAATAGTTCAGTATCATTAGTATAGTGTCATTAGTTTATTAGTAATAGCATTTTGTTATGGTCAGTATTGATATTGTGTTATATTTTTAATTAGCTGTCAGCCCCCCCCCCCCACCCCCTGGCCAAAGTAAGTAATTTCAGTGACCCAATAGAAGAAAGCATTTGAATTTAACTTTCTACCCCCCCCCCCCTCCTACATATGCACACACACACTCACACACATAAAAAAAAATTCTCAAAATGATGAATCAAATGAATGAAATTAATAAAATGTCAATATTAATAAAACAAATAAAATGAATAAAAAGAATAAATTAAACATCATTAACATAGCTAATAAAATGAACACAAATATATCAATTTGTTTTTTAAAATGTTCTTTTTAGTTTACTTATACTTGCTTCTTGCTTATGGTTTCATGTTGCTTGTTGCTGTTTTTTCAAGTACTTATTCTTGCTTCTTACTTGAATTAGTTTCATGTTGCATAATCCCGTTTTCTGTTAAATCTGAATACCCTTTCTGTTTTGCTCCCCCCCCCCCCACCCCCTTCATATCCCATTTTGAAGAGAAAAAAAGTTTTGTGAATAGATATGTTGTGCATCACTCACATAACTAATGCCTTGCTTTGCTTAGGATAAGCAAATAGCCTATTGGTAACCCCCCCCCCCCCCCCATCCCTATTTCCACTTGTAGGTAAAAAGTGAGTGTAAGCAGTTGCAGAATTAATTACAGTAATTGCCTTTTTAAATATTAAATGGTGAGTTGTGGAACCTGTGGTAAATTTGTTATTAGTAATAGGTTAGTGATATGATTAGTATTAATAGTAGCAGTAGCTGCAGCTGTCATTGTAGCAAAGTAGACCAGTATCAGTTTTCAGAAAATATTGTACCTGTTGTTTGGAAGGTGGCCAGTTGATCAAAAGTCCACCAGTCCAATTAGAGATTAATGAGACTAAAGGTCTTTCAAACTAATGGTCCAACGGGTCAAGATTTGTTAGTGTTGGCAGAAATCAGGTTTATGTGACCAGCTCGCTTGGTCTGGCAGACCTCCAACCTCAACCTCATCGAACCCTAGGTCTGATGGTTCTCCAGCCCGAGTCTCATTAACCTCTGGTCTTGTGAACCAAACCATCTGCGTATGGTTAGGTCTAGAAAACCAAACTAGTCG